AGGCCAGCTGTGGAGCCTGGCCTTTCCTCCCCGCCCCCCCACCAAAAGGGCAAGCACTCAGGGATCCTGTCTTTGCAGCCCCCTTCCCAAAAGAAAAGAAACTTTTGAGTGTAGTCGGTGGAGAGTCTGGCTCTGCTACTGTCCCCATGGCTGAATCCTGCTGGGATCACCTTGTCCCTGTGCAACCGTGATGCAGCTGGATCCTTCCACCTGCTGGAAAACCCTGGCTTGCACGGTGATGCTTGCCCTTGGACCATGGTGGGACCAGTACCACCAGTGCTGCTGTGGGGCTGAAGGAGAAGCAGGAGCTGGGGGGCTACCACCTTGGCACATCTCTGTGGTGGGATGGGCATGCACAGCACCGAGGGTTGGCCAAGCTTTGAGCGAAGACAGGCTTTGACGGATGCGATGTGACAGGGAGAGCAGCTCTCGGATGGCTGGAACGCTTCTGGAGCGGCATCAATCCAGCTGTAATGAAAAGTCGTTATGGATTGAAATGCCACCGATGGGGGAAGCGCCTCCCTCTCGTCGGGAGGAAGCCACTGATGCGGTGCCACAGACTGGGGCGAGGAAGGTGCTGAGGAGGAAGGCTTGGCCATGGCATGAACCACTTTACCATGGGGATGGAGTGGGTGGCCTTCATGCAGGCTATGGTGGCACTCCCAGGGTGGACTTGAGGATGAGCCCCAGCTTAAAGGATGCAGATGCAGGTCCACGCAGGTCACCGTTCCATCACCCACGACCAGCAGCACAGGTGTCCCATCCTTGGAGCTCAGATGGCAGATGCATCCCTGCCAAAGGCTTTTCCCATGGGGACAGCATGGTGCATGTTTCGGGGGGGTGTCTTTGCCCCTGTACCAGGCTGATGGCCGTGCTTGCTCACAGGTGCAGCCCATGGCCTGTGAGAACAGCGAGGACAGGAGCATCACCCGCGTGGACGAGGGGCTGGAGGACTTCTTTGCCAAGAGGCTCATCCCAGAGGAGCTGCCAGGGGTTGCCCAGGGTCCCCTGCACCTACCAAACCCCAGGATTTCACCTACTCCATAAATGCTGCTGGGTGGAGGGTGTCTGGGGTCTGGATCCCTCCCTTTGGGGTGGGGTGGAAGTGACTCCGAACCCCTCGGCAGCCTGGAGCTCACCATTCCCAATGCTTCATCTCTCCCCAGCCCCACGGCTCCAAGGACCTGCCCAGCATCAGCCCCTCTGGCCTCCTCTGGCTCCCGCACCCTCAAGAAGAAAATTGGGAATTTTTTTGCCTTCAAGAAACCCAAATCCAGCCGGGGCTCGAGGTGTGAGAAGGAGCCTGAGGGTGGCCCTGCCGTCCCCAG